TACAACCACAATAAAAGAAAAAGTTCCCATTCCCATGACAACCATAATACAAAATAAAAAGCCTAAAATCTAACTAGCTAAGCAACCTATTGAACAGACAAGGCCAATAAATAAGCCCAAAACTAAAAAAACAAACAAAGTTGATGAGAAAGATAAAGGGGACATATAAGGCCTTAAATTAGATAAACAAAAAAATGGATAAAGTGAAGGGCAAATCCAGCTCAGGAGTATACTATATATATTGCAATCTTGAAATAAACCTAACTGCCAGTCAAATATAATTCTAAACTAACACAACCATCTTAGCACAACCATATAGAGGATGAATGGATCAGAATAGACCGAGAAGAAGTAGGAGATATAATTCACAACCAAACAACAACTAGATACCCTCACTCAACACTCCCAAAGATAAGGAAAGTAAGGGGATTACCCAACCACTCTTCATCCAGAAAAGCCTAACAATACATGTCAGTGACAAAGACTAAGGGCACCATAATGCTAGTAGTAAAATAGATATCCTACCCAAGATAACATACTTGATAGGGAAAATAAAATAGAAGAAAATAGAAACATAATAGAATACCCCATAATACTTTAAAAGAAGATTAGATGAACAAAAGTCATGATTTAAATCAGAATCGAAAAAATTGTAACATAGACAAAATCAGCTTAACCAAATAAACTAGAAAATAGGTAGAAGAGATAATAAAGTTAGAAATAAAATATAAAAATAGAAATGATAAAAACAAGGAGAAACAAAAGCCGCCAAAAACTAAGCCAATCCCAATAAGGCAAAGGTAACAACAAACAACTATAACCATATACAGGGAAACCCAATTTTATCCAACCTTGTGAAAACTTTTAAGATAGCAGGAAAATGCATCTAGAATTAATACATAACGTAACTCAAATAATAACCATAATCAGCTAGCCAATCATTATAGGTATTACCTTCCCTAAGAATATGGGTTATATTGAAGTTAAAAGGATCATAAGCTGTTTAATTTCTTGAATTAGATAGAATAACTTAAGGCTACAAATATTAACATTAGAATCCCTATGACAATGTAAAAATAATTCACATCAACTTTAATCCAAATGTTAGTAATTTTAAGAGAAAGATAAAGCCTCAACCCATATAAAATAAATGGCAATTCAACATAAATAACAAAGTAGCTACATAAAATGCCAGCCTAATCCATAATAGCATTACCAAAAGAGTTTCTAATAATATGAAAGAAAAAATATTGATGCTATTTTTTCTAAAGAGAGACATCCCATTTTTTCTAAATAGAGTCCCATTTTCAAATTTCTAATTTTTGTGATTTTTTTTCTTTTTCTATTATGGTGGCTGATGGTCACCGTCCATCCATAGTCGCATCATCTTTGACATTAATATAATATCTACTTGATTGTAAGATTGTTGATGGATCAAATGAAACTCATTCAATTGGTGGATCAGCTATTACTTTAACTTTTGTAAGTCATAAGATATCTATGAAGGAATCTGCTTTGGTGATTAAGGAAAGTTCATTTTCTATTAACAAAATTCTTCCACTAGTTGGAAAAGGAAAAGATGTAGTTGTTGTTAATATTTTTAAAAGTCCTCATTCTTTTAATGCTTCTAAATCAAGGAAAGATATTTTAATGGAGCCAATGATTCTGAAGTTTCTTCCTCCTTAGGAGTGAAGATTTTTGTGAATAGATTTGGAAGTATAAATTCAAATTCTACCTCGATAGGATGATGTCTTGGTGTTGGATAAGATTCTTTGGTTGATGGTCAAAAAGTACTAAACAAAATAATTTTATTAATTAAACTATAAAATAATCTGTTGTTTCAAAACCTAATTGTCAAAATGTTGATGAAGATTTTAATAATTGTGGTGTGAATAATGCTAATGTTACAGTATCTAAGATTAATATGAATGGTGATTTTCCTAAAGCCTAGATGAAATGCCCTAATATAAAAATTATGGAGTCTGATTTTGGATTGGTAATAATAGAAGATGAAAAGCTATTAAACTACATATTCAAAATGAGTTGGAAAATACTTAGATGCTTAAAAATGTATTAATAGTTTACATTTTTGGGAAAAAATATTCCTTTTTCATTTGAGTTGTTTTGAATTAAATCGTTAATAGAGTCTTTTTGGTCAAATTCATCTTACAATCCTTGGATTAGGAAGGTTCTTATTTTCTTTTCATTATTCTAAACCTATGGAATCTGTTTTATCAAATGGACCTTGGTATATGAATGACCATATTATAGGACTAGATAATGTTGCAATCTAGGATCCAGAGCTTGTGATTTTGATGATAACAAATATTATTGATTGAGATTTTATTTTTCTTATCTTATATATTGGATATTATTTTTGGTTGTGCGTACTAACTTTTTAGGTACATCATACATGCTCAAGATTACTAAAGACTCAATTTTGGGTAGAATAGAATGTCAATCAAAAGAGTGTAACTTTAACTTTCTTATATTTTCTATTTCTTGAGTCTTGACATATAAGGGTGTATGACAAATTGGCGACCGTGCAAACACACACATAGGGGGAGTGAGAAAATTTTGAGATAATTTTTTTTTTCATTTAATTATACTGTATAATTATGATCATACTATAAAATTAGTTTTATAAAGAAGAGGGTTAATAGCTAATTGAATTATTAATATATTTAAATAGATCACACTATACTATGTAGATCATACTATATGATTTATTTTTAATTGTAAATCCTAGCCACTATATAAATTAAATATGAATTAAAAAAATAAATTTTGAACTAATCCAATTGTATAACATTTTAAATCTTACTTAAATTATCCACTGTGATCAGTCAATTAGATCAAGGATTATTAAATGTGGCTAATTGTACTGTATGATCTTGATCATACTATATGATGTATGTAGATGGACTCCAATAGTCCCAGAGATCATATTGGACAAAACCTTGATTTTTGAATTAATCGTATAGTATGATATTTATATCATATTGTATGAACTGTTGATATTATACTTATAGTAATGTATAATGTGAATAATCGATAGGGATGATTTCCATCATCTTTGTGATCATCGTGTATGAATAAAGCAAAATTAAATTAGTAATACTATACAAAGTTATGATCATATTATATGATATATTGATTATAAATGAATAAATCATTTGAATAAAAATTTTCATCATACTGGATGAGTCTTACTTTTTAACTTATTGTATTATACAAACACATATCATACTCTACAAATAGAGATGGCCAAATTAAAAGAACTAGGGTTTTTTTAATCCTAATAATAAAGTAACCTTTTGAAGTCTTTGTAGAAAGTACTTTGGCTCTTAAAAAAATTCTAAGGGAGATTATTCTTGAGATGCTTTAGGCTTAGAGAGGAAGAAGAATGTGAGGTTGTGTGTAAGGGAGAAGGAGTGTGAGGACTTTCATATGGTTGCTCTAGGAAAGCTTGAACCTAGCTTCCTCCAGTGGCCTTAGTGAGTTCTTGAAGATTCTCTCATGAGAAGCATCAAAGTTAAGAGTTTAAGTTTCACTGCCTTCACCAGGAGGGTGAAAAAGGGTTGTGGTTCTCTTCCAGCACTAGAAGGGTGAAGAAGGATTCATAGTTTGTTGCCTTCTCTAGGAGGTATAAAAAGGATTAAAGTTTTGTTACTATTACCAGGAGGGTGACATAGCTTATGGTTCTATGCCACATTGGGCTTTGTGGAAGTGATTCTAGTAAGGGCTTTTTTTCCTTAAAATGGGGGAGAAAGGAGAGTCACTATAGTGTTAGTGAAATACGTAGAGTGAAGGACTCTAGGGAGTGGATGTAGGATAAGGTTGACTAAACCACTAAAAATCTCTTGTGTGTTTTTTTTTTTACTTTTATGCCTTTTTTTTATTTTTGCACTTTGAATTTGTACACAAAATTCATTATTCATTATCAAGTCCAATTAGGTTAATTTTTGGTTTTCTAGAAGGAAAATTTTTATACTTTGATTGATACATTTGTTCCTCAAAATGAAAAATATTTTAAACTCTTATTTGCCCATGTATGTGTTAAGTTAATTCCTTATATTTGTTTTTTAACTTATTTTTTATCAGAAAATAAAATTAAAATATAATTATTATAGTACTTTTAAAAAAGTACTAATTCACCCCCCTCTTGGTGCATCTAAGGATAGATCACCGAGGTCTTACAACCTCCTTGATCCTTTATGTGGTATTAAAGCAGGTTTTGGAATTTAAATTTTAAAATCTTCAAGTAAATATCTAATGGAGCAATTTGGAAATAGAAATAATGTAGTGGGTTATTCAATAACCCATCCAGCAATAATTGAAAACATTTCTTTTGATTTTTGGAAAATTGACATGTCTATATTTTTGCAATCCATTGACTATAGAATTTGGCATATGATTTAAACTGGTTATTCACTTATATCTAGAGTAGTTAATGGTGTCAAAAATAATATTATATTTACTAAATGGTGTAATATGGATAGAGAATATGCTCAATTAAATATTAAATGTGTGAATTAATTTTTCTATACTTTGTAATATGTCGATTATATAAAATTATCTATATGTACTACTGAGAAAAAATATGAGATATATTATGCATCACATATGAGGGAACAAGTGAATTTAAATTGTCTAGGTTAAACATTCTACTACATGATTATGAACTTTTTTCATGAAATCTCATGAGACTATATTTGAAATGTACAATACATTCACTTAGATGGGTAAATCATTACATGCATTAGGTAGAGAGATTTTAAATTCAGAAAAAGTTATTAAGAGTTTATGTTTCCTACCTAGTGCTTATGAAGCTAAAGTCACTACAATCTCAAAATCCAAGGATTTATATGTATATTCAATTGAAAACTTACTTGCGTCACTCATTGCCTATTAGTAAGGAGTGAGTTAAAGGCTACTTGATGCAAGTGACAAGAAGAAGGAGAAGATTATGTCTATGAAAGAAAATGACTCAGACAATGATAATTCAATAGTAGAGGATGAGGATGACATTACAGTGATCACTAATTAGTTCAAAATTTTCCTAAAGTGGAAGCAAAAGTGTCATCATCAATAATTAAGAAAAAGGTAAAAGTAATAAAAATTTTAAAGCTTCATCTGACACAATTTGTTTTGAATGTACAAAACTAAGATATCACCGAAAATACTGCTCCAACCTAAATACTAACCCAATCAAGGAGAAGGGTGATGAGACGGTAAAATTCAAAAAAGGGAACCAACAAACACAAGGTATTTTGGGCAGACTATACTTCAGAATCGTTAGAATAAGAAGTAGAGGAAAAGCTAAAAAACATGCGTCTCATGGATAATGATAATCTTGATTAGTTAGATTAAGAAGAGGAATGTCAGCTATCTTATGATAAAATATTTTTTATTTCACCAAAAAATCATGATTCATATACGAAGTTGAAAAAGACATATACTAATTTGAACACTAATTTTACCGCCTTATCAAAAGAGAATAATTTTTTGATAGATGAACATTTTGATTTAGAAATCAATCACATGTCTTTACCTAATGTGTTTGATGCATTAAATAAGAAGCATATTGATTTATCTACTTCATATGATTCCTTGAAAGAAAAACATATGGAGTTAGAAGACTCATTCAAAAAATTAGAGGCATATGCATCTAAACTAGGTGGTAGCAAACATGCATTAAAAGAGGAGGTGGTTAGCCTAGAAAAATGCAAATCAATTCTTAAAACCAAAAATACATGCTTTACAACAAAACAAAAAACCACCCACTTTAACACAATGGTACAACATTACATCAGTACATGCATCATACAACCCTAGGAAAAGGCATATCCCATAACAAAGACTAGTAAATCCCTTCTCAGAGGTATGGTGTCATTGTTGTGGCAAGCTAGTTCGCATAGCCTATTCTTGCATTATCCACCAAAGGGCATATCTAGTGTTGAGGCCAAAATTACATGCATCAAAGAATAGCATGCATACATCTCATTTATCAAAGCATAAGGTGGAATCAAAACTTATTATGTTCCCAATTATAATGTTTGATTGAATTTGTAGGAGTGCTCTCACAAATGTCCTAGTGAGAGGATGTGGTATGTAGATAGTGGATTCTCAAGGCATAAGATAGGGGATTTGAAGTAGTACATCATGTTGGAGGTCTGGTTAGGAGGCAAGGTCACACTAAGAGATAGCACCACTAGGAAAGTGGTTGGCTAAGGTAGAAATTGGCATCACTATGAATTTTATAATTAAAAATGTCTTATTAGTAGATGGTTTACAAGATAATTTACTTAACATTAGTTAATTATGTGACAAGGGTTTTTATATTAAAATTTTATCTACAAAATACATTTTTAGCTTGAATGGTAGATTACTCTTAAAAGAGAAAAGAGTATATAATGTTTATGTGGTTGATTTAAATTGCAATGAGTACTCCGATTCCATGTGTTTGAAAACTATTATTGATGAATCATGGTTATGACATAGAAGACTATGTCATCAAAGCATGAAGGCTCTTAGGAATATTACTAGAAAGAACTAGTTAGAGGTATACCCAAGTAAGATTTCACTAAGGACCACCTATATGATGCATGCCAACTGGGAAAATAAATTACATCTTCAATTCATTCAATCAAGGACATAAACACCTTTAGGTTACTAGAAATTCTAAATATAGACCTAATTGGACACATTTGTACCATCATATAGGAGGGAAATCATATGGATTTGTAATCATTGATGGCTATTCCAGATTCACTTGTGTTAGATTCCTTGCATAAAAAGTGAATCTTTTTAGAGTTTAAGACCTTCTCCATATGGATACAAAGAATATTAGGATGTAAAATATCAACCACTCATAGTGATCATGGTGGAGATTTAAAAATGATAAATTTTGAATCCTTTTGTCAAGAGATAGGGATAGAGAATAACATTTTTGCTCCTAGGACCTTCAAAATGGAATAGCTGAAAGAAAGAATAAAACATTTAGTAGAAGCTGTTAAGGCCACATTAGCAGAATATTCTCTCCGAAGATACTTTTGGTCAAAAGCAGTAAATTTTTCTTGTTAAGTTTCAGATAAGGTAAATGCTAGATCAATGTTAAATAAGATACCCTATGAGCTCTTTAAGGTAGGATACCCAACCTTTCCCACTTGTATATCTTTACATGTAAATGTTTTATCCTGCTAAATGAAAAATAACCTCTTTAAAAATTTGATCCCAAATCTAATAAAGAAGTCTTCTTAGGTTATTCATCTGAAAGTAAGGCCTAAAGATTTTTTAATAAGAGGATCTTAGTCGTGGAAGAATCTACCCATGTACTATTTATTGAATTTGAAAGAACCTCTGAATATAGACTAGGTGAATAAGAAGTAGAGGTCATCCAAGGGGTAGAATCCATTAACATAGGTGATAAAGTAAAATTGAAAGTATTAGATGCACTAAGAGGGGTGGGGGTGGGGGAGTTAATTGGAAATTTTTGTAAAAAAAAAAAACAATCCTAAATAGGAATTTTAATTTTTTGTTTTTAATTTTTTAAATAAAACTTAACTTGATGCAAAAGAGAATGATTAAACCATGATTGCAACATATGTGGTGAAATTTTAAATCACACAACAAAGATCTAGAATATAATCTTCACCAAGTAGTTATAATAAATGCAAGTTTTAAAACATAAGTAAAGTGCGATAAATGAAAAAAATCACACCTAAAGATTGACAGTGGTTTGACCACTGACATACGTCCACTCTCCGGAGTCCTCCTCTCTGGGAATTTCACAACTCAAAAGTAATTCTCTTTTTACCCCCACAACAAGGAGGGGAAGCCTTTACAAAACCTCACTTTCACCATACCCGATGTGGTAGAGTACCAAATGCTATGTCACCCTCTAGATGATGACATTGAACCTTCTCATTTTTCTCCCTCCTCGAGAAGGCATAGTACCTTTAAGGACACAGACCTTGAAGAACTCACCCTTAGAAAGCTTCCCACAAGATTTTCTCGGGCCATAGGAGGAGCAAGCATGAAGTAGGCTTGGAGAAACCATGTGATCCCCTCACACTCCTTCTCCCTCATAAACAAACCTTCTCCTTCTTCTTACAAACTCAAAATCACATCAAGTAGCTCCCTCTCAAGAAGTCCCCTTCTTTTCACGTTCCTCTCCCTTGTTCTCATTCAGAAGATGAAAGTATGATATATAAGTAAGGATCAAAGAATCCCTTAATTTTTAATTCAACTATTTTTGTTCGTATAATATGATACAAGATTGTACAATACGATCAATCCAAAATAGCCTTCATACTGGTACGAAGGAGTACGAATAAATAATTTTTTTGAACACTATCATATAGTACAATACAAATATCATCCAATACAAAATGTTATATTTCTTCTGTTCATATAGGAAAAACATTGGGATGACCAAACTCATCTCTGTTCATTATGTGGTATGATCCACTTGATACAATACGTTATATTAAAAGCTTCAGGTCGCCCGGTACAATTTATAGATCAACTAGTATGATATTAGGGATAATCAAAAATAGCCTCGGTTTATTGTACGGTATAAATTAAGTCATATAATATGATCACCAATCAATAATTAATCTTTGATTTAATTGACTAATCACGGGAGTTAATTTAAGTAAGTATTCAAATATTGGTACTGTGTGATTTGACCATACAATACGATCAGTTCAAAAATGAAAATTAAAATTTACTTAAACTAATCTTTCAGCTAGGGTTTTAAATTAAAAACACATAATACAGCCTGATAATGATCATTCTATATGATTAGTTCACAGATTGCCGGTGAACCATAGTAGTTCGTACAATACGGTTTAAAATTGTATAGTATAATCTGTAGGGAATAAAAAAATTTCCTTAAAAAAACTCTCCCCCTATATGTGTGCATGGTTAATCAGTTTCTAAACACTTTGTTGCTAGACTCAAGAAAATAAAAAATAAATAAAAGAAAAATACATATTTATAAACTTCACATCCTATTCTACCCAGCCTTGAGTCTTCTTGTTGTTTTGAGCAATATGTGATCTCCCTAAAATGTTAGTACTCATAAATAAGAGAAACATTCAAAATATTCAATGAATAATGAGATAATTCAATCGATATTATTTTTCATCATCAAAATCTTAGGCTAGTGGTCATGGGCTTTAACAATCTCTCTCTTTTTGATGATGTCAAATAATATAGTCGATAAATAAGTTAGCATAATTTTTTCTTTTTTTATGTAAACAAAAAACATGAATAGATAAACAAACATGCATTTCATTGGTGGTAGATACTAAAAAAATAAATGATAAACATAACATCTAAACAAATCATACTAACTAAAGTACACAACAAATTTCTCCCCAATTTGACATCACCAAAAAGAGGAGTACCAATAAAAAACTTAAAAAAATATAAGACAGTGACAGGTGGTGGTGGAGGTGGCTGAAAGTAGTGGTGGATGGATGTGAACTATTGATCAATCAAAGAAAATATTTCCCCAAACCATCGCATGTCCTCCTCATATTATTGGTGTTATTCATGGATGTGAGAGTTAAGCCAGGTTTGGAGTTTGTTGAGTCGTTCAATTATATCATCATGAGGATAAGCAAGTGCAGGTCCTCGATGTGGTACTAGTCTTCTAGAGGGAGCAGGTTCTCTTGTTGGAGAAGCCTCTCCTTCTTCATCAAAATCATGTTCATCCCACACTTGGCCCTGATGAAACAAAATATGAAAGAGGCACATGTATAGAAAATAGGTAGATTGTTGGGTTCAAGGATAGGTTAATTGGTATTTGTGGTGAAGAATGTAACATACAAGGTGGCCAAGAGCTAAGTTGAGTTTTCTATGGGTGGTAGGAAGGAGAACTAGGGTCATATTATAGATATAGTCAAGAATTAAGTACGATTTATCAAACATAGTATTTAACATGATTTGGTAGGTGGAAACAAATAGGATCAGGGTCATGCAAATCTTATCTTCAACTTTAGGTATGATCGATATTCTAAGAACATGTTGTATGATGCAAGCATTTTGGGTTAGAGACTGGATAAGTTATTGGTGCTGGTTTAA